TTTATTACTTTTAATTTAGTTTTAATACAAAATAAAATGGGAAATAATATTTGTAAAGAATAATTAATAAATTGTCCGTAAATTACAATTAGTCATAAACTCTTAAAACAATTTAATTTTTTGACTTCCACTCAAACAATTTGAATACTGATTATAAAAATCGCATTAAAATCAAACATAACTTGAATTACAAAACAATTTATAGTAAAATCTATACTCAAACTTATCATTAAATAATTGTCATCTAATTAATTGTAAATTTAAATGTCAAGTAAAATGTAATTATGATTAGACAATACAATTGGGAAAGACTTTTTTGGCACACATTTCATATGACATTAATTGAGATCAAAAGTATTGCGTTTGATTGAGATCTTCAGACTAAATACAATTGGATTAAAATCTAAAACCCTGTCCTCCGGAGTGACTGACCATTCAATTCAATCAGACATCGATTCTTCATTAAGCGTGGAATCATTGACAGGACTTAGAATTGGCATATTGTCAATGCCAGAGCTGTACGAGTGGACACTCTCGTCGCCATCAGTATCGCATCCATCGATAGCATCGTCCAGCTTAGGAGGAATGGCATAACCACCACTACCGCCATCGGTATTACTATCACCATTGCTATCGCCAGCATCGTTCAGCTTAAGAGGAATGGTATCAACAGCTTCACCACCACTACCGCCATCAATATTGCTATCACCATTACTATCACCATTTGGGATGTGACTAAACTCTTGATGATCTCTCAACTCATCCAATGTGTTGAAACTAAGCGGACATTGTCTGCACTGACGTCTAATGAGTTCGGCATTAATCTGATGTCTGTTTATGAGATGATATCGCAGAAACTCTTCGGTCCCGCACTTCATGCGACACTCGAAGCACTCGAACGAGCGTTTGTTAAACACCACGAATCCGTTTTGATGATACTCGCGGTGTTTCGTCAGCTTCACCGCCGATGTCGTGATGAATTCGCACGACTCGCACAACAGACACGGCTTCCCGTGCAGCCAATGGTCGTGAAACACCTGATTCTGTTCGGTGAGCAACAGTTGGCGACAGTCGCTGCACGATGCTTCACCGCCGATGTCGTGATGAATTCGCACGACTCGCACAACAGACACGGCTTCCCGTGCAGCCAATGGTCGTGAAACACCTGATTCTGTTCGGTGAGCAACAGTTGGCGACAGTCGCTGCACGAGTACTGGATGTCTGTCCGGTAGAACAGGTGCTCTTCGCGTAACCGTTGAGCGGTTTGGTCGCTGAGTCGCCGCTTCTGGCCTCTGGCGGTTGGCGTCGGCTTCTTAGCGGTCGTTCGCACGTAAATCCCGTGTTTATTAATCCAATGCGTGTCTAAAGCATTGAAATCAGCGAAGAGTTGTTTACAGCCCGTAAACGTACACTCGAGCGACCGCTCCGGTAATGATTGGTTACTGAGACTGGCCTTTGGCGGGGAGTCGATAGGTATGGGTGTAATGGTTGTTGTGATCTTAGGCTTTAGCGGTGTCATAGGCTTTAGCGTTGGGGGCGTATCGGCCGCCACAGCCACATGTGCTTCAGTAGACTCAGTCATCGCGGGCACGACCGCCGCTATCGGTGTTTCGGCCACTTCTGGCGCCGTCTCAAATGGTTTGACAATATCTACCGCCACCGCCGCTAAAGAGGTCTGTTCGGTCTTTACCGACTCATTGATGGCCGGAATCGGTTCTTCGCCGCCATTCATGTCTGCAGTGACCCAATCGGATGAATCCTTCACTGAATTAGCATTAATCTTGTGGTCGCGAACCAAATGACGCCGAAACGGTGACAGGCGTTTGTACCGCTGTCTACACTGGGTATGAAAGCACTCGTATATAGCTTTGGGCGTCTCTATGAGTCCCATCTCGTGGTAAATGGCGTGCGTCTCGAGCCTGTCCTCCGAGTCGGTGATGTAATCGCATGTATCGCACATCAGATACGGCCGTTTGTGGCGCCACGAGTTATGCAAAACCATATTCCTCTCAGTCAGACAGAGCTGATGACAGTCAGTGCACATGTAGTCCACGTCTCGCCGCCGGAACAGCCGCTGATGTTGTTCGAGCTCTTCCGCGTCGGTCAGCACGAGAGCGCACTCTTTGCACACCCGCTGGCAATGGATCACATGTCGGGTGTATTGACCGAAGTTGTCAAACACATGGGCGCAGTCACCGATCGGACACTTGAATTCTTCGTCAATCGTTGGCATCGATTGTGGCGTCGAGACATTAGTCGTGACAATCGGTTCCGTCGCCTCCATTAAGTGTATGATATTTGGCGATTGCTTTGACACCACTTTCAAAGGCTTAAGTACTGTATACTCTTGAATATGGTTAGCGGTTCCGGGCGTTGGTAATGGTGACAGTAAGCACTGGTCGTTGTGTGCGGGCAACTCAGTCCTCACCAGTAATGTCTGCTTCCGTGGCGCGCGTTTGGCACTCATTGACTGCGAAACAACACTTTTAACACCTGTTTGACTGATTGGCGGTTCAATTGAACGCCCTTTCAATATATTTAACGTCTCAACACAACGTGTTGTTTGCTTTGAATCCATATCTTGTGCGACATCTAATGGCAACTCATGAGTTATTAATCCAATTGTTTCATCCACTTGTGGTAAATCACTAGTTCCCTGATTAGTGATATCAGTCATGTCTTCTCCCTTATTATCATTGGAATCGCTTGTGTCTGGACTCGAATCACGTGTTATTTGATTGATTGGCGTTTGTATTGCACTCCCGATGACTGCCAGTTGATCACTACTTGTGTTGAGCGACTTATCTGAATGTGCGTTTGGATCTGATGTCTTGTGATTACTGTCATCGACGGCCAATTCATTTGTTGGATCCGTTGTCCCAATCGGTGACTCATTTGAATCGCTTTTCAATGGTTTCTGTAAATAGAGTTTCGTTAGATTTGAAAACATTTCTAAAAAATTAATTAATCTCTTGATTACGTCATCGATGGTGTCATCCATTGTCTTATCACTCGTGTCTTCACTTATATCACGTGTTTGTGTCCCAACTGATGACCAATTTATCGGGTGATCAGTGCTGTCGACAGTTGTGTTGTCTCTGAGATTACTGTGTTCTTCGGCAACAGTATTACCACTCATTGTCGACGATATAGTGGCCGACAATTTGGCCACAAATTCCTCCATTTTATCAGTACTTATGAGTTCTTCGTCCGACGATTGCATGGCTTTTGTGTCTTCATTACATCCATTCATTTTGGCCTCAATTTGCGGCCGACTTGTGGTCTTTGGATTGGTTTCATGAGTGTCTGTATCGCCAACTGATCCATGGCTTGGATTATCTCTAAATGTCATGTATTTTGAGTGCAAATCATTCAACAAAACAAATGTCTGTTTATTTCGTTCACAAAAACAATTGGTTTTCAAATCCAATGAATATTTTGCGATATTTTCTAACATTTCATTCAATTGTCTCTCAAATGATATGCCATTCAATAGTCGGAGGTTTTCTTCACTCAACTCTTCCACCAAATCATTGATCAATATTTCACTCATTTTTACCACAATTTAATCATTCATTCATTCAATGATTTATTAATTAAAACTACAATTGAATCACAAATTGAATGAAAATAGTATTTTGAAATCCATGACTGAATTCTTTGCAATGCATAGAAAACGTGTTGAATGTGTAAAACCTGTGAAACCCTATCAATGCTTACTCTCTATAACTGTCACCAAAAATAACTCCAAAACCCAAACGTTATTAATGTATGAATGAATGCAAACATCCATTCAATCCATTCAATGCAAAGCCATTCAAACTGTTTGGCGGCAAACCATTCATACCATTAGTTTTAATTATTTTTAACGTAAATTTTATAATTAAAACTAATTAAATAAAATATATGTAAAATATAATAAACTATTATTATTCAAATAAAATTGTTTATAATTTATTCATTAAATAAAAACTCAATTAAAATAATATGATTAATAAATGTGATGAATGAGTCTGTAGTGAGTCTTCAACGCATTTCTATGCCGTGTCTCAAATGGACAGCCCTTCACATCGCACGGTATGGACACACCGTTGTGGACAATCATGTGTTTCTGCGCCATACAATTAGTCTTAAACCTGCGCTCACATCCGGGCCAATGGCAGGCGTGCGGCCGATCCGTCCGATGTGTGGCCATATGTGTGGTGAGACCGCACCTGTATTTGGTCCGATACTCACATGCGGGCCATACGCACGACAGCAACCGATCGCCGTGTGTGACCCTCCTGTGGGCCAAAAGTGACGGCCGACTATTGGTGCGATAGCGACAGGCGGGCCAATCGCACCGCAACCGCTTGACGCCCGTGTGGTCAGCGATGTGGGCGTCCAGTGTCTGCTGTGAACGCGTGGCGTACGTACAGTCCGGCGCCGAACACCTCAACTCCCCTTTCGTGTGATATTGCCATTGATGTACAGCAAGACTGGCCGGCGTTTTGTACGCTCGCCCGCAGTCCGGTTCGGGACATTTGTGTTGCCGGCCGATCGCCCTATGACTGGCGCAGTGCTGTTCAAAGTGTGCCCTAACGCCAAACCCTTTACCGCAGTTGTTATAATCGCATACAAATCGCTTACGTATTGCGTGAATGTTAAGTATGTGAGAGTCGAGCGAATTCTTGCGATAAAAGCCGCGGCCGCACGACTCGTGCGGACACCGATAGGGCCGACGGTTGTTGTGTTTGTTAATGTGAGCCTCAATGAGACGCTTGTAATCGCTTGTATACTCGCATCCGTTGACATTACACACGTATAAAGTGGTCACCGATTTTGTTGCCGATAATTGTGTGCATCGTTTGTGGTCGACATCCAAACGCTTCTCACACGCGTTTAGTTTGCATTTGAAGAGATTTGTGTGAATGTGTTTCACGTGATCTAATTGGTCATCGGTGGTGAGAAACACTCGTTCGCAGCATTGATACTCGCATTTAATGACACATTCAATGTTGTGATCGACTTTTAAATGCCCGTAAAATAGTGTTTTATCGGTGAAAGACTTTTGGCACTCTTTCATTAGACACTGGATTAAAGTCTTCGGTATTTTATTAATTGAATACATTTCGGGACACATATTAGTCTTCTTAGCATTTGTCGACACTTGCGATGTATCCCTCGTTGTAATGCTTTCCAATGAATGACTTAAATGGCGTGAATTGATATGAGATAATCGGTCGCCACTATAGATGAACAACTGCTCACAAGAGCCGTAATTGCATTCAAATATCTCTGGGATTTGATGACAACTCTTCATGTGATTAACCATCGCTTGCTTATCAGTGAACGTATGTTTGCATTTAGTAATCAAACAATTGATTTCTCGGTTTAATGAATGAGTTTTCAAATGATTGCTGAGATCTTTGTTTGGGAAACGTTTGTCACAGTCTTTGACGGGACAGCAATACGTGGGAACCGTTTTAACGGCAATAGACTTATCTTCGGTCACATCTCTTGTGCCGATATTTGGCACAATTTTGAACCTTTTTATTAAAATACAGTCCTTTTTGAGTGTCTCGGCTGTCAATGGATGTGTTCTCTTGAGATGATTGTCATCGATGGCTAATTCAACAGTTTTGGACACTTTTGGTCGCTTTGAATAAGTAATGACTGATTTCTGTAAATAACGGTTCGTTAGGTTTGACACCATTTCTGACAAATCAATTGATTCTCTCATAACGTCATCGAAGGTTTGGCCGATTGTCTTATCGCTCGTGTCTTCACTTATATCACGCGTTTTTGCCTCAATTTGCGGCTGACTTGTGGTGTTTGGATTGGTTTGATGTATGTCTGTATCGCCAACTGATCCATGTCTTGGATTATCTCTGAATGTCATGTATTTTGAGTGCAAATCATTCAACAAAACAAATGTCTGTTTATTTCGTTCACAAAAACAATTGGTTTTCAAATCCAATGAATATTTTGCGATATTTTCTAACATTTCATTCAATTGTCTCTCAAATGATATGCCATTCAATAGTCGGAGGTTTTCTTCACTCAACTCTTCCACCAAATCATTGATCAATATTTCACTCATTTTTACCACAATTTAATCATTCATTCATTTAATTCGTTAATAAATTTCATTTATTTGTAAACAATAACGAAAAGACAACACGACTTATGTGTTCATAGAAAACGTTCAGAAAATACTAAACTTATGAAAATTAATTTCACAAATTATATCCAATTTTAACCAATAATTGGATATTTTTAACCATGAAATCAAATTATACTATCAATTAATAAAATGTTAATTAAATACAATATTTATATTACAAACAAAATTTAATATTTTTTGGTATAAATAAATACATTTGCGGATAATTCTGACCACAGATTAGTTAAAACTATTTCAATATAAATAAAATCGTTATTTAATTTTATGAATGAGTTTGTAGTGAGTCTTAAGGGCCAGTTTATGTATTGTCTTAAACTGACAGCCCTTTACATCGCACGGTATGGGAACCCCGTTGTGGACAGTCATATGCGTCTTAAGCGCCTCCTTATGTCGTGTCTGAAATGAACAGCCCTTCACAGCACACGGTATGGCCACACCGTTGTGGGTAATCATATGCGTGCGAACCGCACCCTTCACTTTAAACGTTTTGTCACATCCGGGCCAATGACAGGCGTGCGGCCGATCCGACTCATGTGTCTCCATATGCCTCTTCAGAGCAGTTGGCTTTTTGAACCTCAGCTGACAACCGGGCCATTGGCACGCGTGGGGCCGTTCGGTCGAGTGCGTCAATTTGTGCGCTTCTAATTGGCCCTTGAGTTTGGTCCGGTAGTCACATCCGGGCCAATCGCACGCAAACCACGTGGTCGAGTGTTGAGCAATGCGGTGATAATACAATTCGCCCCTGAAGTTGGTCGCAAAGTCACAGCCGGACGACTCGCACCGCAACCGTTTGACGCCGTTGTGGTCCGCGGTGTGAGCGGTCATTACGTGCCGGTAAATGGTAGCGAAGGCGCAGCCGTCCACTTCGCACCGGATGTTTGGCCGCGTGTGAGCGATCATACGGTGCGATCGCAGCGCGATTTGGTGTTTGAATGTGCGCTCGCAGTCGGGCTCCGGACACGGGATCTGTTTGTCGACCTTTTCGTGAACAACCTGTCGGTGTTGTCTCATATTCCAGCGCTTCACGAACCGGGCCTTACAGTTGGGGTAATCGCAGGCGAATGGCTTCAAGCCGTGCGCCCGGCAGTGGTCGGCAAACGGCTTCTCCATACGGAACAGTTTACCGCACGACTGCTCGCCGCACATGAATGGCGTGAGTATTGCGTTCACGTAAGTGTTATACTCGTTGATCGTCGGGTCGTTGGACACGACCAACACATCGATTCGGTGTGTCCTCGGATCAGACACCGTCTCGACGTTCATCTTTTCTATGTCCACAGTCTTCGGGTGCTCTCTAACGTGCGATTCCAGGTCTTCGCGCGTAGAGAACTGTTGGTCACAACTGGTATATCGAGAGCCAAAGCTCGGGGTAAGTGAGACCGGTTTAAGAACTATTTTGAATTGTGGCGTTGGTTTATGTATAGGATTGGGTTCAGTCATTGGACTGATCCTCACTATCGTCTGAATCTTGAGATGTGTAGACGCGTGTGCTCTCAACTCATCCAAAGTAGTGAATTGATGGGCACAACCGGGGAATCGGCACTTGTGCTCACCCGTAGATGTTGTGCGAGTGTTTGAGACAAGTATAACATCCATTGTTTTGTTGCATTCGTCGCCCGTTTTAATGACCGTTTCCATAGTGTGTGAATGTTTGGTCGCATCCATTCTTCCGGTACTATTGTCGCCGCTTTTATGAATTAATTTTTGATTGTCTGAACATTTGTCTGCGTTTACTATCTTTTCTGCGAACCAGTCATCAACTGTCAGGTGTGACCGCATATGTGTCTCAAGTTCTTCATTCGTACCAAAGAGTTGTCCACAAGAACTGCACGCAGAGATCGGACGATAATTGACGAGTAGTTTTGTATCGCTTTCATTGGACGTCACAATTGGATCAATTTGTTGAACGCATTCAAAATCAGATGATTCCCTGTCTTCAAGCCTTGCATTGTCTTCACGTTGTGTTCCATCACTTGTATTAGTCTTCCAACACTTGGGATCAGTTGCTGTGCTGTCATTCAATGTCCACGTATTTACGGGAACTAATCCTTTGCCTA